ACAACACCTCAAAATTAACAAGACTGGAATGCTGGAACAAATGAGGGAACTAATAAGCTAATTAATTGGACAAGTGTAATGAATCAAACAGACTCAAGACTAGGAAAACTAGGCCAACTGAGAGGACACACGGTTTAAAACAGGACAGAACCAAAAACACAAGGAAACAAAGTAAAAACAGAGCATGCATGTTACAATGACACTGTTGAAGATTTAATTAGTTGCTATATTAATTAATCACATATTGTAGAGTAACCAACACTGGTTACCATGATGTTCACTTCAGTATACTGTTCCAAATGACTAAAAGGGTGTAGTAACACTTGAGTCATCTTCATATCATATCATACCTCACAAAAATTCTAAAGCTTACAATGACTTCAGTCATTATGGTTATACTAGGAGTTATCATGCTTTCACTTTAGAATACTGTTCCAAATAATTAGTCATTTCTCATTACTCATTTGTTCCTGTTACTAATTAATGACGGAACAGTATTCTGAAGTGTTACCAAAGTGATAAGCCATAAGACATTTAAGAACGTCCTGTCCTTCACTTCCTGTACCTCAGTCACCGTCTTTCTTTGCCTTCCTCTTTCCCTTTACTCATCTGACGATTATTTGAGGTCCTCTCTTTCTCTCTCTCTGTGATTCCTCCTAAACCTTTCAATCATACTGAGCCAGTCACCTTGGACCGTGTCTGTCACCACACAAGCTGGATCATGCAATCACATGCAAACAGCATACAAACACACACACACACAGAGAGAGAAGCATAACATTGAGTGTGTGTGAAAGAGACCGAGAGAGACCATCTGTATGTCAGCTTGTCTGACCCTCTTTCAGAGCTTGAAATGAAATCAATACAAAGAGGTATCCCTGAGTAACGCAATAGCTCAGAACAGAACAAACACATACAGAGAGCGACCCAGTGCAAACATCGACATTAGTGCCAAGAGCTGAGCCATCCACCTGATGCCCACCTAAACACACCCACACAATGTTTCTCACCCACAATCCTGTTACAAACAAATATGCGATGTTTTACCAATCAATATTCATTTATTAATTTAGCAAATGCTTTTATCCAAAGCAACTTCGACAAACACAAGTATAAAAGAGTCAACAATATGTCATTTCAATAGTAGGCTAAACCAGAACACTATAAAGTTAGAAGACAGGGACAGTAAGAAGAGAGATTTTTTTTTTTTTTTTTTTTTACAGAAATCTTTTATTACACAGTGTTTGATTTTACTTTCAAGCTTGCCAACACACACTTCTCAACTTATTGCCCTTTATACCCACAGCTGGCCCTGAGACAATATTTGAGACGGAACTACTTGGGTTAGATCATTCATCATTCGGCTTCAACAACAATACTTTTACACTTTTATATTAAATATAAATAAAATACTTTTTTATAGTAACGGAAACTTATTCTGACTGCTATTTGATGGCATATGTAAGCAATAAGGTACGAGAGGCTGTACGGTATCGTGAATAAGTCATGGCTGAAGGTTGTTAGGCATAACATAGACTGTAAAAAAAAAGAGTAAGTTACCTTATTGCTTCTATAAAACGTTTACCGTTACCACACAAAACAAATGTTAAAGACAAAAAAATATGTATCAATGCAACTTTTATGAAGTAAAATCACAAAAAGCATTTCAAAATCACATAAAATCACTAAAAAATAGTCCCTGACCATGAACACCAACAGAAGATAAGATGATGATGATACACAGAGCAACTTTTTGAGCAATTTTGCTGTTGCTTGGGCACTTTCCCACTGAAAATGGGCAATAAATTTCTATCTGGATACTTTAGGTCGGTTGTGGGCCCTGTCTTATCTGGTTGCCTGTTGACGGCAACATTGCCCAAAAAGTTGCCCAGTGTATCATCACCTTTACATTATTTCGCCCATAGATGGCAACAAAGACTGTCTTTATGAGTGAGTCAGTCAGTATTAAGGACTGCTGATGAAATTCTTGTGAACATAGACAGTATGAGAAGTGGACAGAGCCATCTCATTGGAACTCCATTGAGACAAGAGAAGCCCGTTTTTGGTGATTTTTTTTTATTTATTTTTTTAGCACTTCCGTTCCTGACGCGCAGACTCAAACCGACTCAAACAGAGCTTGACGACATAGATGTGACGTGAGCAACCCGTCTGTCTTCTAGTGGCTGTGGCATGAGAAATCTGAATCATTCCCTTCCGAAACATGCAGAGGCGGAGAGTGTAAGTAGGAGCTGTCCATGAGCTAGGAGCAGGAGAAACTTTTGCTAGGTATTCTGATTAATCATTTTGTCATTTTGCCTCCACGTTTCCCCGATTGCGTGCGAGCTTCTCCTCCTGTCCGTACAGTAATCTCTCTACTGTGCGACAGAGAGTCGCGTTGTTTTGAAGCAATCGTTAGCCTACTTTTACAAAAAAACTGCTTCTACGGTGCCATAACATAAGCTACAGGGTAATGGAGCATTTTATACATTGTCGTGTTTCTTTAGAAATAAATAAAGGACAAACGGGGTCTTCAAACGCCTCAGATGTAAAGTTATTCGCTGTCAAAGTGACGCCAAAATGAATGGGAGTCAATGGAAATGCTAACGCAAGTGAAGTTCTGCTACAAGATGGCAGCTCCCGCGAGGCTTCAACTTTTGGTCGATGGATTACCCCCTTGCTTGTGAACACGGAGAAGGTAGACCCAACGGAAACCCCTTAAGTTAATTGTTAAAAGGACAAGATATCACAGCGGACATTCAGATCTGATTTTTTATTTCAAATATAGGACTTCCTGAAGGAAAATGCAATATCTACTGTAAATGCAGGTACTCACTTACTCGATCTCTCACAATCTACTTTATAAGCTTCAATTAACAATATCAATGAGAATAAACGTATGTTTACGTTGCCAAGAGTGGTTGCTAGGGGTGTTGTGTAGTGATAGTCATACATGGAACCAGTGGGTGAAACAGTCATAGCCGTGTTTTAGGTTTTATCGTGAATCAGAATCAAGGACTGGAACTAACCGTTTTATAAAAGTAAACATAGCATACCCGTAGGCTAATATCATGTTTCATATATAGGCTAAAGATGTTTGTTTTATGGAATATAAGAAAAAACATTGGTAATCTATAAAGGAACATCACCATGAAAGAGTTTTTTACACATAAGTCTATTATACAGACTTAAATATAGTATGTATATAAAAATAAAAAAATCTCTTAATTAAAAAATGTAAGTCTTATCCCTTACCTGTCATACAAAATTTGATCTTAATCCATGATAATATGTTAATGCTTAATACTGACCCTCACCGCTCAAGTACAGAAGCTTATAATTATAACAAACTCCCAGTGAATGTGTTTGACAGACTATCTAACATAACTTCAATGAGGAAAGTGTTATTTCATGCTTGTTTACCGAAAGGAGCAAGGACATTTCTAGTTTAATACTTTGATTAGTAAATTGCAATTGCCCTTTACAGTCTGTCACCAGATTCAAGTAGTGCCCTTTAAAGTGCTTGATTCATTACACAATATTGTGAGAGGAACAATAGCTGTGTAATTGCTTCTAGGACTCCAAACCTGATGTAAAAAAGTTTCCAAGAAGTATATGCAGTGCATTTTACTGTAAGCACTGAATCTCTAAAGGATTTGTGATGAATCAACGTAGACTAAGAATGTTTCTATTTCTGGCTGTAGCAACAATTTGCCTTGTGAGCGCATGATGTCAAGAATAACAAAAAAATCGATAACAGGGCCTTGGTTGAGCCATTAAAAGTGTCAGTGCAACATGTCAGCAGCACATAAATTTCCTCAGGTTACATGAAAAGTGTATGCCTCAATCAAAATAAGGGGGTGAACAACCACAGGCCCATATCAGGCACTTGACCCATATTATTTAGCATGCATCTTGTCCTCTCTCCTCTCCTTTTCGGTCACTGTAAAGTAGACACTATTTATAGCCAAACACACTAAATATGCCATCCACGCTCCTCCCCAGAGCACATAACAGATAGCCAGCTAAATTCAGCGGCACAACTTGAAGCTGCAAGAATTTTTAGTCTAAAGAATAAGCATTTCTATAAGAGGTGATTAAATTTAGCTCTCTCAGGAGGATATAAATGCGGGCTTCCCTAATTGCCCAATATGTCCCGCGCTGACACTTTCTGCAATAGCTTTTTACGCGAAAGAAACTCCGTGTTCCTGTGACATCACAGCTCAATGACAATCAAAGGTCAAATACAGCGGCATTTCTTTTTTTATCAGTGTTTGTTTTGATACCGCTCTCTCGTCTTAATGGGTGTCCAACATCATAAAACACGTCTAAGAAGAATGTTTCTGTGTCCTCTCTCTGTTTGGCTGCAGCCTCACGGTATCAAGAGAATGTTAATCGCACCAAAACACCTGCAATTCGTCATCGACGGCTGCGTTTAAGCGTACCCATTTGGCGGGAACAGGTGCCCACCGGTGTCATTGACTTTGCAGAATTTGACCTACATGTGAGGCGCATCCAGCTCCACGTCACACCTGAGCGCTTTTTGCTCGTGAGCGCGTGGACCCTGCACCTCTGATCCTGAAAAACACCCTCTTCGGGCAACGCACGAGCGTACGCGCTCAAACCTGTGAACTGCTGCTATTTTCACACAAACGGCTCCTGACGTGACCTTAGCATGGTGTCAAATGTGGCGAGTCTTTCTGGATATGCATTCACTCCAAAAAATCCACTTCAGATCTTTAAAACCGCCGGGTGAACAGCACCTACCGCATGCAGACGGACACATACGGATATCAATTCCAGACGTGCTCTCATCCCGGCTTCCCACGAGCAGCGTGCCGAATCACTGTCAAAGCCTGGAGGACAAATGGTCTTTAACCAAAAGGTTTCCATAGAAACACACACGTTTTCCCTGAAAGGAGGGATGCCTATCGCTCCTCTACCCCTGGCTGGTCTACTTTCAACCTGGAAGAGAAAGGCTATCAAAACGGAGAGGGTCTTACTGATGGTGCGGGATCCGATACAGCCCATGGTGTCTCAGCGAGGGCCGGTTTGTGAGCGAGGAACGAGAGCCACCCTCTCAGCAGACATTCTCTCCTTCTCTCTCTCACTCACTCCTCTTCTTCTTCTCCACGTCTCTGACTCTCCCCTTCTGTCTCTGTAAGGCTGTATGCGAGAGCGAGTGTGTGTGTGTGTGCGTGCCTCCAACACGCTCTCGCCGTCATCCACCCTCCCTCCCTCCCTCCTTGGCTCACTGCAACCCCCTCATTACTCTCTGGTGAGACGAGATATCAGAGTTAGTCAGTCACTAAGTCAGTGTGTCTGCGAAACAGGTGAGATTGCTGTGAAATCTCTCGCCGGCCACTTATGTCGCCTTAAATCCCTTTGTAATCAATAGTATCAAACAGCTCACAGTGACATTGAGAAATGTCAACGACAACAAGAGGAAAGAGCGCTGATCAGAAGTTACTTGCAATTCCGAGTTCCGGGGTTAAGAGGATCAATATCTCGACTAATCGTACGGGGCATCTCTTTTCTTTGCTTCTCTCCATTATCATTTGACAATGCGGCGCATCTGTCTCCCCACCCAACTCTTGCCGCCCCTCCCTTGCTCCATTTTTTTTCCTGTTGCGCTTGCACTCTCCAAAAGCCTACACAACCATATCCCTCTCGATAACTCAGACTCCTTCTTTGCGTCGTTTCTCACGCTCAAATTGAAGAGTTTCGTACATCTTTTTAAAAACGGTTCGCTTGTCATGTCCAGCGTGCCCGTGGAGACCCGTAACCTTGAAAATACCCACACACGCTGTCCAGACCGTGCATGCGCACTCTCCCTGCCTCAAGCAAGCAAGGTTCCTTTCTTTTCCTTCTTTTTTTTTTTTCTTAAACAAATTCTGTCACTGGATTCAACCAGCACTGAAGAGGAGTGGAGAGGGCTAACCCAGGAGGTGTGCTTTGACTCATATTAAGGAGCATGAGGCTGTGCAGCTTGAATTAGTATTCAGGAGGAGAGAGAGAGAGTGAGCAAGAGTGATGAGGAGAGGAAAGAAGGGATGACAGGGATGGGAGGAGGAGAAGAACGGATGAAGTATGTCTGCGTGTGGTAATATTACAGGGAGCTGTCCAGACAGATGCCGAGGTTGACTGCTTTTCCGCTTCACGAATGTGTTATGAAATGTACTACAATTCTCCAAGCATTTCGTTTTTCACTGGTGTTATCGTGTTTCAAATCAAGATACATTTTTTAATTTAGGACATTTTGTTTATCCTCATAAACTTACACTTTAAAACACATACACAGTTTGTTTCTGTATAGGGACAGTGCAGAGTAAGCCCCTGCAGACTTTTTGCCTTCTGACTAAATATATATACATTAAGTTGTTTGGAAACTTTTATTCAGCAAGAATATTTCATTTTTTCTCCGTCAAAGTATACTCTTTTGGAAAGACCCGTTTGCTATCTATTTTTCAAGCACCCAAGTCACTCGCACATGCGCTGTTGTACACAAACCGGCTGCGTCCATAATTCCATAAGGTGCTCGTGCTCCTCAATACTCTAATTAATGCTTCCTCAATTCCTCGCTCTTCCATCCTCCAGCCCGATTGAATTCAGCCATCTTGAAGGACATCTCAATTCTCTAATTGGACTTGTGAGGAATTAGGTATGAGGAAGCTTCCTAAAGAAGTCATGAGCGAGGATATACAGGTCCCTCGCATCCTAAGGGGGTGTATAGATAAGACTTGAATAAGAAATGAGAAGCACACATACTCTCTTGAGTAGATATTTATTTTAAAGGGTTAGTTCACCCAAAAATGAAAATTAAGTCATTAATTACTCACCCCCATGCTGTTCCAACCCCGTAAGACCTTCGTTCATCTTCGGAACACAAATAAAGATATTTTTGATTGAATCTGAGAGCTGGATCACTCTTCCATTGGCTTCCTAAGGGACTGGCTCTTGACGGCCCATAAAGTCATTAAAGAAAAGGTTTAAATATTCCATGTGCCTACAGCGGCTCAATTATAAGTTTATCAAGCGACGAGACTACTTTTTGTGCGAAAAAAACATAAATAACGACTTTATTCCACTATTCCATTACTTCCTTATGGGCGCATGCGCAAGAACTGAGACGAGGACGTTCTCATTCGTCTACTTCTTGTTACCGGCTGCTCACCGCTTAGGAGTTTTACCGCCACCTACCGTATAAAATGATGATCCATATATAAGGCGCTCCGGATTATAAGGAACACTGTCGTTTTTTGAGAAGATTAAAGGCTTTTAAGTGCACCTTATAGTGCGGAAAATACGCAAATTGAAAAGCTTATGTACAGCGCGCAGCTTACTCTGCTTGTAAACAGAAAGTTTTGCGCTTCCAGCTATACCAGCACATCATTTTATACGGTAGGTGGCGGTAAAACTCCTAAGCGGTGAGCAGCCGGTAACAAGAAGTAGACAAATGAGAACGTCCTCGTCTCAGTTCTCGCGCATGCACCCATAAGGAAGTAATGGAATAGTGGAATAAAGTCGTTATTTATGTTTTTTTTTGCACAAAAAGTATTGTCGTCGCTTGATAAACTTATAATTGAGCCGCTGTAGGCACATGGAATATTTAAACCTTTTCTTTAATCACTTTATGGGCCGTCAAGAGCCAGTCCCTTAGGCAGTCTATATAGGACTGATCCAGCTCTCAGATTCAATCAAAAATATCTTTATTTGTGTTCCGAAGATGAACGAAGGTCTTACGGGGTTGGTACAGCATGGGGGTGAGTAATTAATGACTTAATTTTCATTTTTGGGTGAACTAACCCTTTAAGTGATTACTTATTCTGGTGACCTACCGGAGTCAGTTGCATCGCTTCACCGCCATCTGTAAATCCTCTTCCATGGCCTCATGGGATAGTAAAGTGTTCATCGTATCTGCACTTAAGAATCTCTCTGGAAGTAGTAGGTCATCCGGGTACTTTTTACCAACTCTTTTTATGAGTGCTGTTAATTCGGGCACACCACTGTTTTTTTCCTACTATATTATAGGGAAGTATGCGATTGGATGCAGCCAAAATTTTGGCTGCGTACAGATAGTGTTTCGCCGACATCCGCAGACCCTCCTGATAACGAAAACTATGTCACACAGTCAGTGCTTTGAAAAAATTGGCTATACTTAGGACTTAAAGGAGAACTCCGGCGAACAATGAACCTTTGGTCTAATAAAACATCAGTACATAGTCAACCGTTCTCTGAGATTTGTTTTCATGATAATCTAATGTAAAGAGTTTTATCTCTAAAAACTGTTTAGCGTATAATGCTAGTAATGGGGGCATTGACTAAGTAAAAAGAAATCGCTAGTTTATACCACTAACAAGGCTCAAAATAGCCCCACACTCACACAAAAACATAATGAGGGTCCATACATGCAAAACGAAGCATTGAGAACTTAGACCGATTTATAAGAAGATACTTTATGAAGACAGTTCACTTCGCGTATACAGGCAGGAGCCGTCTTAAATAATAGTCTCGATAAGTCAAACCACAAACGTCGTGCTGAGTGATCTGAACTGTATGAAGTTCAGCGAACTTCTGAACTGTATGAGCGGCGTTCGGGGATCGACTTATCGAGACTATTTTTTAAGATGGCTCCCGTCTGTATACGCAAAGTGAACTGTCTTTATAAAGTATCTTCTTATTAAACGGTCTGTACACGTACAAAGTTCTCAATGCTTCGTTTTGCATGTATGGACCCTTATTATGTTACTGTGTTAGTGTGGGGCTATTTTGAGCCTTGTTAGTGGTATAAACTAGCGATTTCTTTTTACTTAGTCAATGCCCCCATTACTAGCATTATACGCTAAACAGTTTTTAGAGATAAAACTCTTTACATTCGATTATCATGAAAACAAAACTCAGAGAACGATTGACTAGGTACCGATGATTTATTAGACCAAAGGTTCATTGTTTGCCGGAGTTCTCCTTTAATGGCTGCTGAAAATTTAGTTTTGCCAACACAGTGTCACGGTCAGTTGCTGTAATGAAGCTCACGATGAAGGAGATACTCAAAATACAGCTTTAATCCAAGAATCTAAATAATAACTTGGAGAATAATTTGAAGGAAACACAACCTCGAACACACTGACATCAAAAAATGCAAGACCAGGAACAGACTGGTACTGAGGGCTTAAATGCATGGGCAAACAAAAGAGCAATCGAGATATTTAACAGAATCCTCAAATCAATCAGAAACCATAGTGACAAACAGCCAAGGAACAGAGGAGAACTGAACTAATTACCGTAACAAACTGGAAAGCTAACTAGAAATACAGACATGACACACAAACAAACTCAAAACGTGACACACACAACATTTTCAAAAACATGTAAAAAGAGAAATAAGGTTTTACCTTTACCTCATTTCCTCTTGTCTACATGACAACTTAAGCAAAAAGCTTAACTTTTCCTAGATAGTGAGATTTTTTTTTTTTCTTGAATCAAAAAGGTCTTCACGCAGTATCAACTATTATTGAGCAACAAATCTTGTTAGCAAGTTGATTTAAGATAGGTCAACTTACCCAACGCAATTGTCAGACAGTCAAAACACCATTGATGGCACATCAACATACCAACAGCTTCATAAATTCAGAACCCCAAAGTGTCCACACGTCGTGCTTTATAAATGACTACACGAATCAATGCCTCAACTTTCCCTCAAACTCAGAAAAGGAGGCGTACACCTGACACTGAGGGAGATAAATAGAGAGGAAGTGGGAGGGAGAAGGCTCATCCAGACATCAAAAAACCAACATTGGGACACCATATCATAATTTATTTATGCGCCCAACAGCTTGCCTGAAGTTACAGGAGGCTCTCTCAAAGGGTGAGTCATCCTTTTCTCACTCTCTCTTTCTCTTTCTCATTCTCCCTCCCTTTCTCCACCCTATCTCTCATTTTCAAAGCAGCGACTGACATCAAATTCACATTGAGGCTTTGACTTCCTCTCTCTTGCATATTTTATGTGTGTTTGTCTATCAAATCATCTTAACTGTATATGCACCATATACTGTCAACTTTATTGTCGCATACTTTAAGGCTATGCTTGTCACATTCTGTTATGTTAATAGCATAACTATAAATAGCACTGAACATGTACTGACCTCCCAATGTTCTATAGAAGGCATGATGATGGGGGAAAATGC